GGCTGCCACAGTAAAGGGATAAGATATTTGTGGTTCTTTCACCACCGGATCTGCACATTCTTGAAAAGTAGATATGGCCTGATTTTCCAATTCTACTTAGATCAAATGTGGGTTAGAAAAAGGAAAAATGTGTTCATCAAAGATAACATGATGAGAAATATATATCCGACTCGATATGGGGCATAAGCACCAATATCCTTTTATGCTTCATGTGTAACCCAAAAATACACATGGTTAAGACTTGGGTGCAAATTTGTGTGAAGTATAACCATGGAGATAAGGAAAGCATTTGCTTCCAAAGCCTCGAAAAGAGGTATAGTCAGGATTTTTGCNGTGCAAATTTGTGTGAAGTATAACCATGGAGATAAGGAAAGCATTTGCTTCCAAAGACTCGAAAAGAGGTATAGTCAGGATTTTTACCAAACAATCTCTGAAAAGGGGAGTCCATATCAAGAACCGATGAAGGCATACGATTAATGAGAAAAACAGCAGTATAGAAAGCATCAATCCAATATTTCTTAGGAACATGAGAATGTACCATCATAGTGAGTCCAAGTTCAGTAATATTGCAGTGCTTACGTTCGGCAAGACCATTCTGTTCTGGAGTCTTTGGACAAGACAGCTGATGAATTATTCCAGATTTAATGAGATAGCTTCCGAAAGCCCTATCTGAGTACTTACCTCCTCCATTGGATTGAAAAATCATTATTTTTGTACCAAATTGTCGTTCCACCATTGCTTGTAAGATAAGAAAACAAGAAGAAATTTGATTTCCTTTTAAGAGGGTATATCCAAGTAAAAAGTGTGCATTCATTGATAAAAATAACATAATAGTGATAACCATCATGAGATTTAACCGGAGTTGACCCCATAAATCTGAATGTATAACAGATAATAGTTTATCAGAGAATATTCGTGACGACAAAAAAAGCAATCTACAAGATTTTCCAATTTGACAACTGTCACAAATGGACTTATTATCCCAATTATGGACTCTAACAAAGTCTTTATTATTCAAAAATCTGATCACGTTGGAATGAGGATGCCAAAGCATACAATGCCAAACCTTCCCACTTACATCTTGATTTTGATTTGAGAAAAGACCTGTTGGATGCACCTTTTCAAGAACATAGAGATTTCCACTTTTACTGCCCTCCATCAAGATGTTTTTGTTGCTACTGTCCTTTATAACAAAACCACCATTGAAGAATCCAAAATTACAAGGATTATCACTTATAAATTGGCTTACAGACAAAAAGTTTTTCTTTAAGTCTGATACTAAAAGTACTTTTTTAATAACCATTTGTCTATGTTCAGTATCAATAAAACCATCCCCAATATGAGAAATCTTGAGCAGTTGACCATTACCAACCATCACAGCATCATAACCCTCATACTCTTTTAAATTAAACAATTTACCTTGATCCCCAATCATGTGAGTTGAAGCTCCTGTATCCGAGTACCATGCATGATCTTGACTGTCGCTGATTGGCATTGCAGCAAGTGCCTGTGGAACATCATCTGAGACAATATATTGATTAAATCCATGCCAACACTTCAATGCAATATGGCCATTTTTGTTACATATTTGGCATTTTGGAATGGAGCCAAAGTTAAAGAATTTATTGTCGTCCTTGCCAGATTTTCTGCCATGATTTTCACCGGATGATTCAGAGTTATTTCTATAAGTCTGGTTCATCTGGGTGAAACCTCTGCCACGTGAAGAAAAATTATTACAATGAGCTTGGTTTGAAGATCCATGGCCTCTTTGAGCAACAAAAGCAACATTTTGATTGTTAGCTTGGTGAACCTCATGCATTGATAACCATGTCTCATGACTTTGAAGCAGGGGAATAATTTCTTTATAGCAAGGTGTTGGGGGGTTTGAGCATAGTTGACACAAAAGATTTATATTCAATCCCCAAGCCACTAAGTAACCAAAAAACTTTCTTCTTATCATCAACGGGCTTCCCTATGGCAGCTAGATCATCACAGGTAATCTTAAATTCCCGAATGTATGACGTACCTTTCCTTAACATTTGTAATTTTTGTGTAAGATGAAATTCTCGTTCTTAAGAATCTTGTGCATAAGCATCATGCAAAGTGTTCCATACCACTTTGGAGGACTCGAGTCCGACAACAAGACTCAACACATCTTCACTTAGAGTGCCAANTCTTGTGCATAAGCATCATGCAAAGTGTTCCATACCACTTTGGAGGACTCGAGTCCAACAACAAGACTCAACACATCTTCCCTTAGAGTGCCGATTATCCAACCTCTTAACAATCAGTCAGAATGTCTCCATGCTACGAAATCTGGATTGATGATCACCTTCTGACCAGTGGTTGACACATCATCTGGGGCGGCAATCGTTTGATCCGGCGGCATTAATTCACCATTGATAAACCCAGTAAGATCTTGGCTTTCAATTAGTCCAAGCATTTGGGTTCTCCACAATAGATAATTGGTATTGGTGAGTTTAATGGAGACAAAATTTCTTACATTCAAAGTTGCAGGATATGGGTACTTTGTATTGGCCATGATAGAGAAGAAGAGGTTGAAGGCAATTTTTCACACAATTCAAGTCGTTTAAGGCTCCGATACCATATGAAATTTCTAAATATTATTGTTTTTCTTACAACTAGAGAAGGAAATCTCTTCTCTTTATATAAGGAATACAATAGACATAATATACGGAAGAAAACCATTTGAAATTCAAACAAACAATTTCTAAAGACAAGAATGGAAAGAATATAAAATTGAGAGAAATTTAGGGAGATAATGGCTGATCTGCTGCTATCACATGACTTGCTGCTTGATCTGCTCTTTATTTGTGCCATGATCTAATCCTTGAGATTGATATGCTATCCCTTTGTTTAAGGCATGATTTTATTCCTTGATTTGGCCGGAATCATTACTTTCTATAAGTATCACACAAAACTAAATATGTGAAACACACTTAAGAACATCTAGCAAAGAAAGTAAACTATCAAAAATTCATGAGTTAAACCCCAACAACGAAGTCATCAAAAAATTTCAAGAGCTAATTGATAATATTTCATGATATATACTAGTAACGAAAACTACTCTGATTACAGAAACAAAAATCGATCAAATAATAAGAAAATGCTTCCACAAATACACGCATAGCAATCAAAAACTCGTCAGTTCTAAACTCAAAAGAAAATATCATCAAAAGCATTAACAGCTAGCTGATACAAATTCATCAAAACTTAAAAGGCTAGCTCATGCGAATTCATCATTCATGATAATTGATATATACTGGTAACTTAAAACTAGTTCGATTACGGAAACACAAATTGATCAAATATAAGAAAATTCTAACAAAATACACGCATAGCATTCAAAAACTTATCAGTTCAAACTCGATGATACTAATTCAAGATATATACTAGAAACTGAAAACTAGTTCAGTCACAGAAACAAAAATTGATCAAACATGAGGAAATGCTAATAAAAATAAACACATAAAACATGTACGAAGGTATGGATATTATACCAGTAGTGTGTCCGTGAATGTGATTATTCCAAATCAAGACGGATCTGAGCTAGTTTTGATGAGGAAGGGACTGTGTGAAATGTGATTCGTTACCATTTTTTGTGGACGATCGAAGTGGTTGAACTTGAGCGACGACTTGAGAGGTTTAGAGATTGGAATTCAGAAACTGTAGGGATTCAGATGAGCGGGAATTTAAAGAGAAATTCAGAGAGTTTTGCCCGGCAACAAAGAACAGGGTAAAGGAGAGAGAGAGTGAGGGAGGGGGTTTTGAGTTTGATTTACACAGAAGGACATATTTACGGTTTTAGGCCCAATTATTTACCAATTTTACTTCTTGTTTGTATTAATTACACTAAAGTTCTCATATTTCAGAAACAACATAAAGACCCCAAATGTTGTCACGGTTAGAATAGAACATTCCTCAATCATACCTAAACAACTCCTCATTGCAAATTTGAACTTATTCAAGGTCAACACCAAAACAAAATTAAATTGTTATTGCAGGCCCTTTATTTTGTTAAAGTTTGAAAATAAAGTTTAAACATTTGGAAATGGTGCAGGTGACTATTAAAAGCGGCCACCATTATTCTATACATGCATGTTTGAGATTGAGAAAAGTTGTTATATCTTGTCACTAGAAAAGGAAAAAAAAACGAACCAATGCATCATTTACCATGTTTAGAGGATGAGCTTGGGAACAATGGTAAGATTAAAGTTTCCAATCACAAAAAATACATTATTTACTAATAAATAAAGTTGTGTTCATATAACCCATCATAAACCTTGCAATGACATGAGTCACATTGTAAATTGCCATTTAACATACATTGTAGATTACAAATAGATAATAGTCATGCGATTTAATTATTTATTTGACCCCTAAACAATATCATTTATGTCAACATGGCTCCTCTACCCAAATTGGTAGTTAATTTTGACGGAATTACTCAATTGTGCATCACGTAAGTTAGGGATTCGTGTATAATTTAGAGGTTACGTGTTGTGCTTGTGAGGAATTCCCTAAAATTTGGACAGAAGGGTCACTTTGACACAAATGATATAGGTTAGAGGTTAAATTAACATAAAATATAATTTAAGGATTTAATTGATATAAATAATATAGTTCAAGGATCAAATAAATAATTAACTCTAGTCATGCACCAAGATACATCTTTATTTTTAGGGAGAATTGTACTTTATATATTAAAAGATTTAAGAATTCTTATTTTATATCATCAAAGATTAAACTTTTTCATATTGTATCTTTAGTATATTAAAAATATTGCAATATGATCTAGTTGTTAGCTTAAATTATTTATTCCACAAAAATTCAACCCATTGATGTTAACAAAGTAATCAATAAAAGCTAATGAGAGTGTCACATTACGATATTTTTAATTTATTAAGGCACAATGTAAAAAATCTAAAATTTTAATGGTATAAAGTAAGAATATCTAAATTTTTTGAGGTACCAAGTGCAATTACTTTACACACTACAGATTACTCAAAAAAAAATAACTCATTAAAGGAACATGACTTTTATATTCATAATTTGAGCATCTCAACATACTAACCCAACATTGACCCCAATTAATAACCACACTTTTTCAATATGTAGTTGTTCCTATCTTACATAGAAAGGTGATTATTTGAAAAAATAGGATCCATTTTATCTACTTATTTATTTATTATTAGACGATTATACCACGTAATAATACTGGAGTAGCATTACACCAAATATTTACTCAATATATCCAGTTTCTGATAACTTGGATACTCTGTTATCTGACTGCCTTATGTATCAACAAAGTCTTCCCCATTAGTTTGGTTTGAGATTTTGAGTGAAAACCTACATGCCTCTATTGCATCTTCAATCGATAAGAACACCGATTCCTTCCCGACCTCCTCGTCGATGAATTTCGTTAGCATCAACTTCTCCATGACCTTAATCCTGGGGTTTATCAGAGTTACCTGGGAAAAAAAAACAAAGAGTAAGATTAGAGCATTGTTGTGTATATAACTCTATCGAGTGAAGGGACAAAGAGGAATGGTGTGGATCACCTTGATCCCTTTTGATTCCATGTTTTTTCGGACTTCGCATAGGGTTTCTATACCTGTTATATCAATTGCTGTAACACCTACATGATGATATTCTGATTATGTCATAGGAAAAAAAAATCTAGAATGACGGCTTTCAAAAGATGAGCAAGGGTTGGGGGCTCTCAAAACCAAACGAGATTAGAAGAAACATGGCAAACAGCAGTGATTAATCCTCCGCAAGCAAAATTTGACCAAGGTCACTGGGCAGATTATAATCCTTACCTCCCAAATCCAGCAATAAGTACTCAATATCATTCCCTTCAGCATCTATAATGTCCTGTTCATCTCTGACCCATCTCAGAATCCTAGTAGAATTTCATCGGAAAAAATAAAATAAATAATTAAATCGTAAATAAACCAACATTTCAATAAGCCTCTTAATGGATCGGACTTTGGCCCAATTTGATTCCAAATCTGATCTACGACATGAATATTCGATGGATTTGATTTTCATAATCCATATGCAAATCTGTGAGAAAAATAAAAATCAAATTAAATGCCAAACAACCTATTTTTAGCTGAATTTCAGAAAAATGACATGTTAAATTTAATTCAATTTTATTAAATAATCATTCAATTTCACGAATGACTATATAAGTGTATATAATTCGAATCACATAAAATTGGATCAATTTTTGGTATATCCAACTTTAAATCCATGAGACATCGTATGCATGATTTGATTTATTAGATTTAGGTAATTAGTTGAAAATAATCCACATTCGACTAACTAGACTTAGATCAGATTTGAAAGTCAGAGAAGTTTTCTATACACCGACAATTTTACGGTAAGTATCAGTAGAACTTATAATCAAATTGAACTTTGTGAGTTTGAGTGGAGCCTATTAAGCTTATTTTTCGAAATAAGCCCAAAATGAACAGAACCCAAGTTAAACTTGAATAGCTCGATTATTTTATGTATAAACGAATCAAGCTTTTTAGACTCGTTTTTCTAAACAAATTTAAAAAATTATTCAAACTCGACTCGTTTAGAGTCTTATACGAGTTGAATCCAAGTCCAATCTGAGTACCTCGGCTCGATTATCGGCCCTAGTTATTAGCCACCCAAAAAATTGAGAAAAGATTAGTGAAGGAGCAAAACCTTTCTCTTATGTAGCTACTATTTGCAAAGTAGATAGGGGAACCAAGTTGCAGAATTAGAATCCCCGGAATCCCTGTTGCACCAGGGTACTGCTCTACATCACGATATAATGTGGAGTCTGGTATGTTAGCGAGCTTGCAAGTACCAGGTCTAGCTACATACAGCAGTCCTCTGAGTAAGGCAAGTCCCACCTGAAATCCACAAAAAAATAAATCATTGATAATGGGCGGGTAACCGGAGTGTTAATCAAGCCGTGTTTGAGTATAGTCATATTATATTTAGTTGTGACTGAATAAGCTAGAACGTGAACATGGCCACTAAATTCTTCGGCTCGGCAAAAACTTGTGAGCATTCAAGCAGAAATCCGACTTAATTATTAGAAAACAAAACCCTAGAACTTTGATAATTCATCCTCAGATAATCAAATTTGTACCAAAAAACCTTCCAAAACCAGTTCAATTAGTCCCTATGAGCTTAAGTTTTACTAAAAAAA